TTACAGAATTTGTAAAAAGCAGTCTTGGGCCGAAAGAGTAGGTCACAAGGCGGTCTTTTTGACACACCAGTCCATTAATCCAATCCAATCCACTTTATTTCTATAGCACATTTAAACAGAACAGTTCCAAAGTGCTGCAAAAAAAAAAAAAGAAAAGTACACAAAAAAACTCCATGTAGCTCAACCAGAAAATAAAAAATAGTCATCACAAATGGTATAAATAATTAAAATAGGAAATAAATTATCAATTTATAAAATCAATAAAAAACACTAAAAAGATAAAATAAAGCAGAATTAATAACAATAAATATGTAAAAGTGAATAAAGAAATAAAATAAATAAAAGACACAGGGACCACACAACTCACACGGTGTTAAAAGCCAGAGAATAAAAGTGGGTTTTAAGACGAGATTAAAAACACTCCAGTGTTGGGGCTGTTCGGACGTGGAGGGGCAGAGTGTTCCACAGCTTAGGGCCGACAACAGAAAACGCTCTGTCCCCTCGAGTTTTACGTTTGGTCTTAGGAACCACCAGCTGGAGCTGGCCCTCAGACCTCAGAGCGCGCGCTGGGGTGTAGACTTCAATGAAGTCTGCGACGTACTGAGGGGCCAGTCCATTCAACGCTTTAAAAACAAACAACAAGACCTTAAAATCAATTCTAAATTTGACTGGAAGCCAGTGCAAGGAGGCGACCCTGGACTTTTAGTCAAAATTCCAAAGTTTTTCAATTTTTACCTTTTTAAAAACAATTCAAAAAGGGCATAAGGAAACTGGACACAAGGAAAAAAACATTTAATTATCGAGTTACAGAATTAGAATAAAAGCATAACACAATAATAATACATGCTTAAATATGCTATAGCAACACAAACATAAACAAATACATACACACACACACACACAAACATACTGTACATATACACAGATACATACACGTACACATACACACACATACATACACACACACATATACATACACACACATTCATACATACACACACATATACGCACACACACACTCCTTTACTTTCCCTTTAATCTTTCAATTTGATATATGACCAATGTTTTAAGACTGATGGGAAAATTTCGATATGGATTCAGGATTTCTTTGACTAAATCACTCTTGTGTGGTGTATGACACTGATCTATGGCTGTCATATTTGAACATCAGACCAAAGCTAACCCTGAGAGTCAGACCCGGGTCAGAGTCTGCGGAGTTCAGCCTTTTACCCTCGGTGTGTTTCTGATCTGCGTCTTCTGGAGCAGAGCTGAACGCTTCCTGTTTGGGCAGACCGCCGGGTTCAGCAAGGAGTCGGGGTCAGGTGTCCGCGCTCGGGTCTGAGGCTGATGGGCACCGCGTGATGGGAGACGCAAGACTTCAATTAGCTTCCAGTTATTGTCGGCGCCAAACCCTCCAGGATTGACACAGGAGGGTTTTGTTGTTGGGAGGAGATGAAGGAAACGGATTGCGGAAAACTTTATTTTTTTGTGTATTTTTGTCATAAACTGTATTTTTTTTAGCTTTCTTTATTTTATTTTTTTAGATCAATTCATGCTAACTCAAGAGTAATCAAAATGTTACTAATTTCTAGAATTTACTTTAGATTTTTTTATTTGAACAGGGACGGCGAATAATCAGTAGTCCTTTAAAAAAGAAAAAGTAATGTGCAGGTTGTAGCAAAATTGCGTATTATTATCTGTTAACAATAAAACAAGCAGCTTTAAGCCTCATTACATTTTTATATATAGGTAAAACATTATTCTCTCTCTGTCTTTGTCTCTCTCTGTCTTGGTCTCTCTCTCTGTCTCTCTCTCTCTGTCTCTCTCTCTGTCTTTGTCTCTCTCTATCTCTCTGTCTTGGTCTCTCTCTCTCTGTCTCTCTATCTCTCTGTCTCTCTCTCTCTGTCTCGCTCTCTCTCTGTCACTCTCTCACTGTCACTCTCTCACTGTCTCCCTGTCTCTCTCCCTGTCTCTCGCTCTCTCACTGTCTCCCTTTCTCTCTCTCTCTGTCTCCCTGTATCTCTCTCTGTCTCTGTCTCTGTCACTCTCTCACTGTCTCCTTGTTTCTCTCTCTGTCTCTCGCTCTCTCTCTGTCACTCTCTCACTGTCTCCCTGTCTCTCTCTCTCTCTCTATAAACTCATCGTTAGCTCACTGACAAAAACCTCAAATATGAAGGGCCCCCCCAGAAGCATGACCACCGAGCCCCCTGCTGTGTGACGCCCCTGCAAACCCTAAACCTCCACTGGTCCATGGACTGAAGGACCTGTCCCATGATGGCTCCTAACCTCTGTACGGCTCAGAAAACAAGTGAAACCTCCTCGTCTTGCCATCAGGACCTGATGGGAATATATTCTCTCTTCTTCCAGAGTCCCATGTTTGGTGCTTTCTCGCGACGTCCAAATGTTTTAGTGTTGAAGTAGACGAGGCCTTTTGAAGACCTTTTTGGTGTGGTTCCATCGCACTGAGGACGCGTTAAGAAATTCAAAATGACTGACACCTTCATCGCCTCGATCGATGGTGCGTCGAGGGGAAAGGCCTCAAGAATCCACCGCATTCGACAAGAGAACGGTTTTTTGGCTTTTGCGCCGGGAGGTTGTGACCGTGAGAATCTGACAGAAAAGTACGTTCAATTCCAAATTTCTGAGTAGATTTTGGCTTCTAAAAGCTGTGATCTTAAACCAAACCCATTCAACTTGCAGTCCAGGGGCACATCGGGGCCTCAAAACTGTAGTTGGGCCCTCAACCCATGTTCAGTGTCAAAAGTAATCAGAAGAAAGAAATTAGGTAAGTAATCTATATTTAAATAGTGCTTTATAATTGTTGTGGGCATTTGTCTCTCCCTCCACACAGAGATGGGAGTCCAAATCTATTGTACGTATTTTTAATGGTAGGGAGAAAAAAGAGCAACTGGAGGGAACCTACGCAGGCACAGGGAGAACATGCAAACCCCACACAGAAAGCCTAACTAGGTTTAGCCACTGCGCCACTTATTCTTCTTCACTTATCGCCAATGGGACAAGCAAAACGATTCTCCTGTCCAGTGAGAATGAACTTGCCTCTTGAAAAAAGAATTTATATTTTTACGCCACTACAAAACTTGATTTTAGAACATTTTGTCTTAAAACAAGATACATTTAACCTAATAGTTCTAACTCTTTCTGTGTTGAAAGTTGTAAAGTTGCTGTTAGTGGCCTGGTCCACGGTGTAATTTGGTACTAAAGTATGAACTGTATCTAAATTGGTTGTTAATGCACAGAATCTCTCCAGTATAATTTTCCCGTTGGGGTCCGTTACCATTGGGGGCCTCAGAGCCACTGCACACTGGGCTCCTAAGGTTGCCCATTGTAATTTCTAAATAATGACTTTGATTTACAACAAATGATGTGTTTTGAGCTGAATTTAGAAGGGAGAGCATTTCTTATTTTTGTGTATAATGTAGAGATTGAAAATTGGGGATTGAATATTTTTGTGAAAACGTGTGCGTAGTTTTTACTACGGCTCGATTGGTCACTGATTGATTGATTCTGGTTTCACTGGTTTTATGACCTTAGAGCGAGATGATAAATCTTTTTTTTTTTTTTTTTTTTCTACTTTTTATTGCTTCATCCAACCCCTTTTCAAACCTGTATTAGTGTAAAAATATGTGAAATTGAGTTCTGCAGGTTTTGAAATCCATCAAACAAACCAACTTCTCTCTTTTATCCTGCCTTCGGGTCATTTACAGTTTGCCCTTTTTGTCGAATCTGGCCGTACTCGTTCCACAGACTTTTCACTGAAATTTACAGTAGTCTTAAAAGCAGAGACAGTGTTAAGTGCTGATCTCCAGTTCTTTTATAGAGCGCTCTGATGTCATAAACACTGAGTGGTCCTGTGTCTGAGATTCTCCTGAAACTCGATCCGGGACGTGGAGTGCATGGAGTGTGCGTTTGTCCGGCCCGGTTCCTGTCCCTGTCCCGCTAATAAAAGAGATCTCGTTCTGCTGCTGCTGCTGCTGCTGCTGCTGCTGCTGCTGCTGCTCTCGCCACACACAGGTTTAAAGCAGTGTTCACGGTTCACAGTGCATTTGGCTCCTAATGCGTCACAGCAGGCACTCAGACCCGGGTCATGACTCAGGCACGACAGGCCTCTCTCTGGGGGTCCATCCACAGGACCTCCGATGACCTGCTGCCCACACACACACACACACACACACACACACACACACCCCACACCACACAGACTCTGCACTGCACGGACTAAAGATCTGGTGATGGCGATGAGAAAAAAAACCTGACCAGGCATGTCACAATAACAGTAGTAACTTACACACTGCAAAAAGTGATTAAACAAAATCAAAAAAGGCTCAAATTTTGCTTTGTCCCGTTGGCAAATCTTGCTTTAAGGCTCAGTCAAAATGTGCTTAAATTAAGATACTTTGAGCAATGTTTGATTATTCTTCATCACTTTTTGCAGTTACTTTCAATAGCAATAAAAAAGATTCCGATTCTGATTCTAAATGCTTCTAAATTCATACGTTTGGGCCTCAATTTTTTCATTTTTTCCTCGTTTTTTTGTGAAAGTGTAGATAATTTTGCCCATGTTTTGTAAAATTGTCAACTTTTGCATCTGTAGAGGGTTCGATAGGACTCCAAATTACTGAAGTCTGCGGAATATTCTATTAGTTTATGTCTTTTGAAGGAGATTTCTACCTTTATCCTGTTGTATGGTTGTATTGTACTCTAGCCAGGGGCATAATTTAGTTTCAATCTCATCGTTTATTCCATAACTGTACGAGCTGCACTGCAAAAAATGATGAAATATGAGGTAATGATGACTTGAATCGAGTGGTGTCTTATCTTAAGACGAGGTCATTCTGACTGCCTTAAAACAAGATTTCCCAATGGGACAAAGCCAATCTATCTTGTTTTAAAAAGGTCCAATAAATGTCTTTCTTGGAAAGAGAAAATAAAGCAAGCGTTCTTGAAATAAGACTGAAATGCTTTTGTGTGTCTCTCCGCAGTGTTTCCGTGCGCTGTGCTGTAAAGGACCTCCACCCCCGCGACCCGAGTATGACGTGGTCTGCATCGGTCTGACTGGAGCCGGCAAGACCAGCCTGCTCTCCCGCCTCTGCAGCGAGAGCAGCGATGGCCTCGGCCCCACCACAGGTTTGTCTCCTCTGCACCAGAGTTGTCCGTTCGCCAACACAGATCCGAGAATCAGTTGGAACCAGTGGGGGCGGGTCTTGGCTCAAAAGTGGCCAAAATGACGTGCGCTGACATGCTGCAATACCACCCCGGGCCTGTGGGGGTGGACCCGGAATAAGAATTAGCCAATGCTAACATATAGCATCTTCCTACCTCTGGAAAACACCTTTACAGGACGGTCCAAAAGTTGGCTCTTGGCCCAAAGCTCCATTCCACATGTGTGTCGATGATGAGGGGGGTGAATTTTTGAAGTCACTCGTTTCAATGAATGGAACTCGTGCAGCTGACACATGCACAGATGCGTTTTTTGACATTTTCCAGTCCCCGCGGCCATTTTGAATCACTGCATGAAAGCCCAATTTTTGGCCCATTAGTTAGAACGGCGGAGATAGGCGTGACTTTATGTGATAGTTCTATGGACTCATTATTTCTTAACTCATTTAACTGTGATGTTGTGAATAAAGACACAGTTCTTGTTGGAAACATAGTTATTATTAAATTGTATTTAATTGTAATTAATTGTTATTAAAAACAGCAAAACAATAAAAGTGGTAAATATCTGAGGCAAACATGAACAATGAACAATGAACAAAGTGCAGGAGGAATGGAACAGATGCGATAAGCTACGAGTGCAGATTCAAACAATACAGGAACAGTGCAAAACAAACGACTGCACAGTTTATAAGTTAGGGTTAGGGTTAGGGTTATATAGGGTTATATGTTAGATATGCAACAGAACTCTAGTCCAGTCTCCGCGTATATCAGGCTGTGCCATGAGCCCAAACTACTTTTCCTTTGGTTCCTTCGAAGCACAAAGCTCTCTGCTCCATAGTGCCTCGTCCATGTCCCTGCTGCAGCCGCTTCATGCTTCCGCCCAATACACACACACGGACCAATCACAGCGGAGATTCCTTGCGGCACCCCTTACGTAGTTAGAAAATTTCAATGCTGCGCGGCAGGCAACGTAAGGGCCTTGCGGTGACCAACGCTTTGCGCAAGTGACGTCACGTCACCTCCGTAAGCTCCGCGCCGCGCGAGTATAAACTAGGCTTAACTTGTCACATTGTTGCCTTTAGTTTTTTGGATTATGTAAATGTTTTGTATTTTCACTGTTTGTATTTTGCTGTATTATTGTATTGTTTTATTGTTGTTCTGTGAAGTGCCCGTGACGTGTGCTACAGACCTCTTGGCCAGGACCCCCTTGAAAAAGAGATCTCAATGTCAATGGGTATTTTCCTGGTTAAATAAAGGTTAAATAAAATAAAAATCATCACCACTCCTTAGACCAACCTGAAAAAATAAAAATAAAAAACAAGTGGGAAAAAAGTGAGAAACTTACCCATCAATATCTGGTACTGTATCCTAGCACGCTACCCACAACAAACCAGTATCCACGGACAAACAACTTTTCTTCTTTATGAGAACAAAATCAGGCACCCCAGCTTTAATGTTGCTAAGTCTAGAGTCGGTTTTATTCTCATAACTGAGCTTAAAGCCTTGTCTCTCTGCAGCAAAGACTTCATGAGGACGATTGTGACTCGGATCTCTCACAGTGAGACAGGGACAAAGAGAAAGCCTCGGCCGGTCTCAGACAAGCTGTGGTCTCTATCAAAGCCAGGTTTTATATTAGGGATTGAGAGCCTCTTCAGTCCTGCTCCACACAGCCTCAGTCCTCACAGCCTGAGTCCTGGACTGAGGAGTGGATCCCTCTCTCCATGTGGGTCTCCCCGACGTTTTCTCATTGTTTCCCCAGTGTTTTTTTTATTGTCAATGTTGTTTCTTGTCGAAGCAGGAGGGTCTAAGGCAGGGTTCTCCAACCTATAGCTCGGGATTCACCAATAGCTCTCCACCCCCTTCCAGGTAGCTCGCCAAAGGATTTAGAAATGAAAAAATCAAATAATATACCGGAGGATTGTATACACCTAACCCTAACCAAATAAGACCGGAGTGTTTTTGTGTTTTGTCCTAAAATTTGGGAAAATCCTCCTACATACCATTAATATTTCAGATATTATTCAGATGTATTATGTATTATTCATTATATTTTTGTATTATTTTAAATGCACTTTCATAAACGATGACTGAACCCAATATCAGGCTCGTTCACACCAATATATCACCAATTTTGTTCCCAGGGGCGTTTAAAGGAGTAGCTCTGCCTTTATCATCCCGGAAAAGTAGCTCACTGGGTGAAAACGGTTGGAGACACCTGATCTAAGGACAGTGATGACCCAGGACATTTATTCACATTTTTGGACATTGGTCGTTGGTCGTCTCGTATTAATATTTCCTGTGTTTGTACTTTTTGATTCTCTGATTTGTTGTTGGCGAATTGACCACTTTGTAAAGTCCACCGAGACGACTGCTGTTGTGATCTATGGCTATTCAAAAATCAACTAAATTGAAGTGAAATTGAAAAGTAGAGTGCAGTGGACACCAGGCTGAAGAGACAGGAGACTCTACTTAGACAATATGGTTTGATCATTGTCTTTTCTCCAGGTTTCAGCATCAAAGCCGTGCCATTCCCCAACGCTATTCTGAACGTGAAAGAACTGGGAGGTAAGAAAACGGATTATGTTACGAACTGTATCTGGCAACGTAATGTCTTTATCTGGCAACTGAAATAATCCAGTCCTCTGCCTTCATGATAGTATTTACCAAAGAAAGTAGCCCCATGTTTGTTTGAAGAGAGACAAAACAAGACATTTGAAGTATATTTTATTCCGTCCATCCGTCTATTTTCTTCCGCTTTATCCCTTGCCGAGTCCCGGGGCAGCAGTCTGAGCAGAGAGGCCCAGACTTCCCTCTCTACACTTGCTCCAGCTCATATGGGAGAATCCTGAGGCGTTCCCAGGCCACAGAGAGACACTATTCCTCCATTGTGTCCTGGGTCTTCTCCGGGGTCTCAACTGGCTCCTCTCTACACGGAGATGCAGCGGCTCTACTCCGAGCACCTCCCGTGTGACTGAGCTACTCACGCTATCTGTGAGGACTGTTAGTATCCGCAATCTCGTCCTCTCGGTCATTACCCAAAGCTCATGAGCATAGGTGAGGGAGGGAACGTAGATCGACCAATAAATCGTGAGCTTTGACTACAGACGCGGCTCCCTCTTCACCACAACGGTCTGATATAACAACCACATCAATGCAAGTATAAGAACAAGACAAAATCCATTACCAGTAATCATCTGCTTTGATGATAGTATTGGCTTCAGAAAGACCATTGTTCATTTGACAAGGGATAAAACAAGACATTTTAAGAACCTTTTATTGGCATTTCCAAATTCACTAAACTAATCATTTTTCACGCGAACAACAAAAAGTACTTTTCACAGCTTTCAGTCGTGGCCTGGTTGTTTTCCCTGGACATTTACGCACTCAGTTTGTTTTTAGAGTGATTCATCCCATCTTTGAGTCATTCATATTCTTGACTTCTCTGACCAGACACCACACGCCCACTGCTTTCTGGATCCTCTTGTCTACTGCCTGTGTGCGTGTGTGTGTGTGTGTGTGTGTGTGTGTGTGTGCGTGTGTGCGTGGGTCTGTGTGTGTGCGTGCGTGTGTACGTGTAAGTGTGCGTGTGCGTACGGCACGTTACGCTGTCATTATGCAAAGTATCGTCCCTCGTGTGACTTGTGTGTAGTTTTATAACCTTCACCTGAGCTCCATGTGAGCAACAGGCTAAAAGCAGTTTGGTTTTATTGCTGTTTAAATTACCGCTACATTTCAACACTCCTCGGCAAGAAGGTAGGTCGCAAGCCGGGTTGAAGGCCGAGTGGCCCCGAGTGTGTGAGGATGAGGTGCCCCGGTTTTGGCTCAGTGGGAATGAGCCTATAGTGTACAGCAGGACTGCAGGCCAATCGTGACCTCTGTGTAATGTTGTATATATATATTATAGATCCTATTATCTCTGTATTTTTTACTGTAAATGTGTACATATTTTTACAGATATGTATATTCCTGAGTACCTGTATCCAGATGATTCTATTCTCACAATATTATCTTATTACTATTCTTATTTTCATTGTAAAATACTATGCAAGCTACTATGACGCACAATTTCTCTTATGGATCAATAAGGTCTGTCTAAGTCTAACAAACAAATAGGAGGCATTGGTCCATACGGTGCCAATGACCAATGTCCATAAATGTTAACTTGATTGCCAGCCATTTTTAAAGATTTCACTGATTCTCAAGACCCATATGCTATGTCTATGTGAAATATGAAACCAGATTCTGAAAGACTGGACTGACTTCTTTTATCAGCAAAAATAAGTTTGTTTCTAGCTAGTTTTGCCCTCCTGTAATCCCTAGTCGAATAGAGAGAAGTTAGACAGAAATCTCCAGTCTTATGGCAGTCAAAGAGTTAATAAATGGTCCTTAAATATGGTCCTGGATCATCCCCGCTGTCCTGCATCGGCAAAAGACGCTTCCAAAACACATTTCAGAAATCTCAGCCAAAAAGCGGTGCAGCCCTATTGCGTTACTCGGCAACACTGGGGCTTGTTATTGTGTAGTCAAAGCAGATCCCTGGCGTTTTCCACTTTCAGGTCGTGTTTGTACATTTGTAAGAGAGGGAACTCTTGCGGCCGCGTCACGCTTTGTGCGCCGTGGGAGGAAAGAACGTCACACCTGTTAAGTGGACACAATCCTCCGGCCTGTTTTTCCTGGAAGAACGGAGCCAGAAGCACTCGAGGAAGAACTCGCAAAACGTAAACACAACAAACACTTCTTAGAAAAACTTGGGCGCTTCCAAATTGTCCCTGAGACTGTGAAGCGCAGCCATCTTTTATCCCCATGTTGTGAACACACTTAT